GTCGGCGCGCCGCGGCCAATCAGCACCCGCCCCGCGCCGCCCTGGCCAATCAGCGCTGGCCTCGCGAGCCGCTGACAGTCAGCGCCCAACCCACGCCGCTCCGGCCAGTCAGCGCGCTCGTATTAAATCCGCTCCCTCCCGGCCGGAGCTGGGGGGCGGGTCCGGGGCCTTCGGCGGAGGCGGCGGTGGTGGCCGCGGCCGAGATCTGCGCGCGCAGACTCCGCCTCGCTCCGGACAGGGCTGGCGTCCTGAGGTCCGGCGCCCCGAGACGGAACCCGGACGGCGGCTCCCAGGAGGCCGAGTGCAACGGGACGGACTGACCGCCGCGGCGGGGGCGGCGTCCAAGGTAGCCGGTTCTTTGCGGGCAGCCGCAGGCGCGAAGAGCCGGCGCAGCCATGGCGGCGCCGCGGCCGCTGGCGCGCTTCTGGGAGTGGGGCAAGAACATCGTGTGCGTGGGCAGGAACTACGCCGAGCACGCCCAGGAGATGGGCAGCGCTGTGCTGCGCGAGCCCGTGCTCTTCCTGAAGCCGTCCACCGCATACGTGCCCGAGGGCGCACCCATCCCCATGCCCGCGTACACCCGCGACCTACAGCACGAGCTGGAGCTGGGCGTGCTCGTGGGCAGGCGCGCGCGCGCCGTGCCGCAGGCCGCCGCCATGGACCACGTGGCCGGCTATGCCCTGTGCCTGGACATGACCGCCAGGGACGTGCAGAAGGAGTGCAAGAGGCAGGGGCTGCCCTGGACGCTGGCCAAGGGCTTCACGGGCTCCTGCCCCGTCAGCGCGTTCGTGCCCAAGGAGAGGATCCCCGACCCCCACAGCCTGAAGCTCTGGCTCACCGTCAACGGCGAGCTCCGGCAGGAGGGGGACACGGCCTCCATGATTTTTTCCATCCCTTACATCATCAGCTACGTTTCTAAGATAATCACCTTGGAAGAGGGAGATATTATCTTGACTGGCTCGCCAAAGGGAGTTGGGACAGTCAAAGAAAATGATGAGATCCAGGCTGGCATTCACGGGATCGTTAGTATGAGATTTAAGGTGGAAAGGCCAGAATATTGAGTCTGTACAAAGCACCCTAACTCCTTAAGTTTCAGGAGAGAAGAGAGCAGGACAGAAGCAAGCAAAAATTATTAAATGTGACAGTCCTTGTGATAAGAAACCCGTCCTGAAAAATGACTTGATTGGACTGTTATGCCTCAACTCAAGGAAGACAGATACTTAAAGAAACACGTGGAAGAGCCCGGCCAGAAATGGAAACCAAAATAAAGGGTTTGTGATGTTTCTGAAGTGGAGCGTTTATCAAGCCGTATGTTCAGAAGACTTAGTTTCCTTTCTTAAGACTGGACTGGATAAGACTCTTCATTCTAGGATCAGTAGTTCAAGACTCAAAAACTAAAGGAAACACAGGCAAGTTCCAGACCAGCGTTCCCCAAATTTCCTTGGACTTGATAATCATCTGGAGGCATTTGTAAAAATAAAAATTTCACAATTATTGTCCCAGATCCACTGAATTAATTAATGTTATTAATGAAGATCTAGTCTGCTTGCCTGGGTTGTCTACCCTGACCCAAAGATTCTGAGTGTGGAAGATAATTTTGAAATTACTGTTTTCAAAATAAATGTGTTGCTGTCTTTTTTGTGGCCTGAAAGTGTACTTTTTTCCAGTCATAGTGAGAAAGAATACTTCCTCTTTGTGGGGCTTCAGACCTTGGTCTTTGACTTTTGGCCTCCTCAGCACTGTGCTTTGTTGACAGAGTTAATCTGCCTCTACCTCCCAACGAGAGATAGGAAGGCTTGGGGGAAGTTGGATGGTTGGAGAGTGCTGCTTTTGCTCTTGTCTGCACCCTTCTCTGGAAAAATAAAAAAACCTTGGCAAGATGCACAGTTATCAGAGTGCCTGGTAGAGTCCTTTCAGCTTAGGCAGGGGCTCCTGCTGTTAGTGCACACAGAAAGCATATGCTGGTTCTAAGAAAGCGTAGGAAATCTAACTTGGTAATAATGGTTAACATTTATTGAGGACTTAGTACTGCAGGCACTTTGCCAAGCACAGTTTGTTCCATGCTTCCATGTATTATGTAACCCTCAAAAAAGCTGTGAGGTTGGTTATTACTACCATGGTTCTTATACAGATGAAGATTCAGAGGCTAGGAAGCCTGCTAAGTTCACTCAGCTGAGTGGCAGAGCCAAGATGTAACCCAGTTGTCCCAAGACCAGACCTGAAGTTTTAACCACAGTGCAAGCTGCATCTTGTAAGTAGATATATGATTCAAATGTTTAGGTATTAAAACAACCCCCATGTTTAAATTATAATTTATTATGAGGAAGTGCCATAATTGGGTTTATTAAATATCATGCTACTTAATTACTTTTATCTTTAAATTTCTATTTTAAAAATTGCTGGCTGGCAGGTTGGCTCATTTGGTGAGAGCATGGTATTATAACACCAAGGTCAAGGGCTCAGATCCACATACTGGCCAGCCACAAAACAATTTTAAAAATTTAAAATTGCTTACAATGCATGTTTATTACTGAAGAGTCAGAAAATGAAGGTAAGCAAAAAGAACGAAATACCCAAAATGTCATCCTCCCAGCGACAAACTTAGGCATTTGGTGTACTGTGATGTACATTCTTTCAAATGCATGGATAGAATTGTAACTTTTTTTTTTTTTTAAAGATGACTGGGGCCAGCCCTGTGGCTCACTTGGGGGAGTGTGGCGCTGGTAGCGCTGAGGCCGCGGGTTCAGATCCTACATAGGGATGGCTGGTGCGCTCACTGGCTGAACTTGGTGCAGACCACACCGTGCCAAGGGTTGCAATCCCCTTACCGGTCAAAAAAAAAAAGATGACTGGTAAGGGTGTCTTAACCCTTGACTTGGTGTTTGCAACACCCAAGTGAGCTAACTGGCCATCCCTATGTAGGGATCCAAACCCTTGGCCTTGGTGTTATCAGCACCACACTCTCCCAAGTGAGCCATGGGCCAGCCCTAGGATTGTAACTTTTTTAATAGAATTTGCTCATGCCATCCAATTTTTCTAAGTTATTTTCCACTGTATATTGTGACTACCTTTTCCCATGTCAGTCAACGCACTTCTGCAGTATTATTTTCACTGACTGCATAAGATTCTAAAGTCAGTCCTCCATTTTTGGACATTGAGATTTTCTCTAATTATGTGCTAGGAGAATCAGCACATTTGTCGTTATTTCCTTTGGCTACGTTCCCATAAGTGGAAGAGCTGGATCAAAGGGTATGCTCATATTGGGTTGTTTTTTTTTTTTTTTTTTTTTTTTTTTTGGTGGCCAGCTGGTAAAGGGATCCAAACCCTTGACCTTGGCACTACAAGATGGCACTCTAACCAATTGAGCCAACCGGCTAGACTGTGCTCGTATTGGAAGTGCCTTATTAGTTTAGCTGGCAGGTACAAGGTTCAGCTGAGATAAGTCTGCCAAGTTGACAGATTATTAAAGCAAGCTAGAGGTATAAGGTAGGAGCAGTGTTCACATGTAGCCCTGGGTAGGTGGCACAAGCCAGCACCCAAAGTGTAAGGTGCCCAGAGGTCAATGTTCACCACGCTGGTGGAACACGTGTTGTCACGAAACATCTGACATCAGCATTGCAGGTTTAGCACACAAAGTTCTAGGAGGCAAGAACCAAAAGCAGAGATACCCATTCCCACCTGATGTTGCTAAAATCACAGTAATCCTAGCACCCAGGATATATATTTTCCCCCAACTTCGTATCTTGTGTAAATTTAAACCTACAAAAAAGTTTAACAACTAGTACAATGAACTTCATATACCTTTCACTAGATTCAACAATTGTCAACGTTTGCTCTCGCTCTGTGTCTTCCTCTCTCTCTCTACACACACACGCATGCATACACACACGCGCACACACACATCCTTATTTTGGAAACTCGTTGGAAAGGTAGTTACAGAAACACTTTGCTCTTTTAGCATGCATCTCCTAAGAATGAGGACACTCCTGTATAAAAACAAGATCATTATCACACTCAAGAATATAATTCCGTAATGAATTAGTCCTGTTCTTGACACCTGTCTTCTGGTGTTTTTTGTTTTTGTTGTTGATGGCTGGTGAGTACAGGGATGGAACCCTGGACCTTGCTGTTATCCGCATCACGCTCTAACCAACTGAGCTAACTGGCCAACCTGGTTTTCTTGAACATATGTTCACTGGGCTTTTATACAAAATGAGTATTATACATCCACTTACTATATTATGAACATCATTCCAGGTCAGTGAATATAAGGGTATATAATAATTATTTATTTACATTTATTCTTTATTTAATGGCTTTTTTTATCGTGTACCCCAGAAACAGAGCCTATGATGGGGATTCTTGTTCGGGTGATTTATTGAAGGAGACGATAGTGAAGGAAGAAGAAAGGTCAGGGAGCAAATCCCAAGAAAGTGGTCTCAGAGCTGGAGACGAGCTGAAGCTTGTGATCCCAAGGGGGTGCTCTGGAGCACAGTCTGTCAGAACCAGAATCAGTTCCCCCCATACCTCCCATAACCTCCCCAGCTCATTCTCCGACCCTCATAGAAGCTGTGCATCAGTGTGTACCAGCAAGTAAAGAGGATCTGCATGAGGCCCACCATCCCCCTACAGGTTGCATAGGTTTCAAATGCCTTGCTATTGGAACAATGATGCAACGAACATCCTCCACTGACACCATTTCTTTTCTTAAGGAAAGTCTTAGAAGTGATATTGATGAAATGGTTGCATTTGTTGTTGTTGTTGTTGTTGTTTACTGGCAAGATCAACCAGGTATGCACTTTAAAATTTTGATACTTTTAGCCAAATTATGGAAGAAAAAAAGGATATACCAATTTGTATCTGACAAGAGTGTTGAAGAATGCCTTTTCCTGCACACCCTAGCCAACACTGGGAATCAGGGCTTATGGTCATCTTCATTTGCATTTCTTTAATAGTGAAGCTGACATCTTTCATATGTTTATACTCAGTTATTTTTTTAACAAGACTGTTGGGGACATCCTTGATGTAATATTAGTGCCGTATCTTTGTTTTCAGATGTTTTATATTTCTTTTCAAAACACTTAATTCAAATATGCTAAAACCGCAAGGTGTTGATAACACCAAGTCAAGGGTTCAGATCCCATTACTGGCCAGCTGCCAAAAAACAAAAAACACATATGCTAAAACTTTCATGTGTTTATATATTTAATGGGAAAGAGGAAAGTAATTATAAGCACAATGATACTGCTGTGGCTTGATGCCCCCTCCCCGCAAATTTAGTCCCCACCGTGATAGTGTAAATGAGGGTGGGAACTCCTCTTACAGTAATTGAAAGGTGGAGCCTCGAAGAGGTGATTAGATTGTAGGACCATGCCATAGTGAATGGATTAATAATAGTGGTCAGTGGCATAGTTTTGAGGGCTTTAAAAGGAGATCACATGAGGAGCTATCTCTCTCTGCTCTGCCATTTTCTGCTATGTGAGACATCTGGGTCACTGTCACCACCAAGACCCTCACCAGATGTGTTCCCTGGACTTTGGACTTCCCAGCCTCTGAAACTGTAAGCAATAAATTTCATTTTCTTATAAATCACCCAGTCCCAGGAAATTTTGTTATAAGCAACAGAAACAGAATGATACAGATACACTAGAAAAAAATTCAAACTTATAGTCAAGAAAGACATACAAAAGTGTAGGATGCTTGCATAGGCATGTTCATAGCAGCATTTTTCACCATAGCCAAAAAGTCAAAAAAACACCATGTCATCAAGAGATGAATAAATAAAATGTGTTATATCCATGTAATGGAATATTACTCAGCCATAAAAAAGAATGAAGTACTGATACATGCTATAACATGGATGAGCCTCAGAAACACTATGCTCAGTGAAAAAAGTCATACACAGAAGGACAAATACTGTGTGAATCTTCTTATACGAGGTACCTAGAATAGTCGAATTCATAGAGACAGAAAGTAGATTAGAGGTTACTAGGGGCTGAATGGAGGGGAGAATGAGGAGTTACTGTCTAACGGGTACAGAGTTTCAGTATGGGATGATGTAAAAGGTTCTGGAGATGGATGGTGGTGATAAGTGTACAGCATCATGAATGTACCTAATGCCACTGAACTCTATGCTTAATAAATGGTTAAAATGGTAAATTTTATGTTATGTATATTTTACCACATTAAAAAAAAATAATATATATATATATATATACAAGAAACAACATATTACCTACCCATTAAAAATATGGGATGGGAAATTATTGGTTTTCCTTTTTTGTTGTTATCTATTATTATTTTATAATTTTTATACAATAAATGTAAAACCTTACAATAAAAAAATTTTAAAGCAAAACAACTCCAGGATTCCTTTATATGAGTAATGGACAAACAAATGTATATATTGTGTTTCTGCCATGTGCAGAGTATTGAACCAATAAACTTGCCAAAGCAGAATTAGGAAAGGAAAATCTTAATGAAATAAATCACTAATAGAAGATCAGGGAGGGCCGGCCCGGTGGCGCACTGGGTAGTGCGCCGCTTGGGAAGCGCGGTGGCGCTCCCGCCCGAGGGTTCGGATCCCACATATGGACCGGCTCCCGCTCACTGGCTGAGCGAGGCGCGGGAGCAACGCCG